CTACACTGGCAGTCTTTAGGAAGAGTTTGAAGACCTGGCTGTTCAGGTGTGCCTTTCCATAACAGGAAACTCCAGCAATATGTCCCAGAAGCACTTTATTAGCTATTTAAGATTGTCTGCACATTGCACTTACCCTACTTTTCACCTATCATACTCAGCACTTTTTAATCTGTACCCATTACATTTGGCCCGGCCCTAGTTTTACCGTGTTATGGTGTATTGTTTTATTGTTTACTGTTATTGCTTAACGTTTTGATTTGCTTTAAATGTTATGTGTATTGTTATGCTGTTGTTTTTACTGAGGCCTTGGCCTTTGTAAGCCGCATCGAGTCCTTCGGGAGATGTTAGCGGGGTACAAATAAAGTTAATAATAATAATAATAATAATAATAATGTTAAGCTAAACACATTTATTTATTTATTTACTACATTTAAATCCTGCCTTTCTTGACCTCAAAGGAGATTCAAGGTGGCTTACAACATAGGCAACAATTCAATGCCTTAAAAACAATGTACAATAAAAACAGTAATAATTTAAATTAAAATGAAGGTTGAAAATACAGATTGAAACACCAGTAAAATTACCAACCAATTTTTAACTGTGAAAGATGTGGCACAACTGGAGAGCAGCCGTTAGAACACATTCTTACATCAGAACAATCTGTTCTCCAAGAAAAAATATGCTAACAAGTATATTTGGACATCCTAAATACATCATGGCACAATGGCACTGCTTAGGCTATATTTGGATTGAGCTGCAGAAAGAAACTCCAGCACAAATTTTGATGATTAAGTTGGAAGGCTATACAAATCTTCCTTAATTTAGTTTGAAAACAAAACATAAAAGAGGAAGGCTGATATGCAACATGAAAATCAAACAGTAGACAAAGAGCATTGAAATCTATTGTGCAATATCTTTATGTTTTTAGATTTACAATGAAAAAAGCAGATGATATCCTGTTCTATATTCTAACTAAAGTCTATATTATATAAAAGTGCCACTTCCAAGTTTACAGTTTTTGCATGTTGTCCATATTTCTCATCCTATGCTAAACAGACCTTGTTCTCATTTGCAACGTGATCATTTAGTTGTTTAAAAAGGAAAGCTGCTTTCTTATGTCCTTCAACTGTACTATATAAATATTGTATTCAATCCTTACTTGCAGTTCATAAATAATTTATGTTTAAAAAGTTCCCTTCCAGGGGGCACTCCAGCCATTAGGGGGCTAAGATTTCTGTTAAAACATTTATTTACTGCTTATAGTAATGTGGCAGGTGGGAGTGGGGGATAACTGCTTAAAATTTATCTATCAAAACTACATTTAGGCAAAAAGAACAATAACAAAACATCACACAAGAAAATATAGAACAGAATTCAGGGCTCCCGAAGAAATGGTAGATGTTTGCATTTAATTAATACGCCCTTTTACCTTATAAAAGCTTAGTTTGATACATATGGATCCCTGATTTACCCCTCTGCTTGAGAGCAGACCTTCAGTATAGGTTGGGAATTCCACCTATTCTGCAGGATTATAAGCCATTAGAATTCCTTGCTGTTTCAGACTTTGGAGAAAAGGCAAAAAAAAAATGTATGGGGGAAATTACAATCCATTGTAAAGCACACTTCACAGGTTCTAATACTACCTCTGCCTTATGCCAATAGTGATTCGATACTGGCAAAACAACTTGGACTGAACCAAACCATCCACTTCTGTTCTTCTTATATATTTCAGAGGAAGGAATTGACAAAACCACCTCATTGGCTAAGAAAACACGATAAAATTCACAGGGTGGCGATAAGTCAACAAAAGATTTGAAGGCACATACACACACCCAGCAGCTAACTAAATAAAAATACAAAAATAACATGTACAGAAAGGGAGTTGACTACCCCGTCAAAAAAGCTGTGTACTATAGTGGTACCTTTCACGCTGCATAATTGTGGTTTTGTAATTCCATTTTCATTGTCAAGACTACATCTCATGGTATTCTGTGATATATAGTTTAGCAAGGCACTAGAGCTTACTGAGTGAGAAGCCCGAAAACCCTCTCTAAACTACAAACACCAAGATTCCACATAATGTTGCTGGCACAGTTGAAGTGGAATCAGAACTCTATAGCTACATAGTGTGAAAGAGGTCTAAACCTAAGTATACACAAGAGACTTCTAACTCCAATTGGCCTTAAAATCGCCTATTGCTATCTCTGTTCAAATATCAGAAAACTTTACAGGTTTCATGACTGGTATAAAAAGATTTCCGCTGTTACATTAAGCTGTGCTAGAAACATGTTCAAAGTGTTCCAAAAAATTAGGTGATGAATGTGGAAGAATGGACTTCTTCAAAAAAAAAAAAAAGAACACGTATGCTAATGTTCTCATTAATGACATGTCTACTTAGGACAGCTATTAAAAGTCCATTAACTGAACAAGGAGAGTTGAATAAAGCTATCCTGGAAAAATTCTGGTAAATTAGCATTATAATATTTTAATGGAAATCTACTATAAGTACTGCACAATTAGCAAGGCTTGCATTTCAATTAGAGTCATGCTTTGGGAAAGTTCAAAGAAATATGAAGACAATGTAACAAGTGGGTAACAGAAGTGTGGCACAGGTCACAAGACAGGCTAATAGCAAATTTAAAGCCAAGGTGAGCATTATTTTTATTATTATTATTAATTTATTCTGTACTAGCAGGGGTATATAAACAAAAATAGGAAAGCTCTCAAGTATATTCTTACATGCTCTTCTAAAAAACTACCTTGCGAAAGTGCTTTACAGCAGCAAAAACAATATTAACTGAATAGATGGCACTGTTAAAATAAATGCAAATTACTCAGAAGAATGGGATTGGTAATGAGGAAAAAGAGGTCAATGCTTTATATCCAAGGATAAAAAGGGGAAACAGGTTTAGTGCCTCTTATTCCAGGATGGAATTCCTCATCTACTCATAACATGTAGGCCAGAAAGAGGGAACAACTTTAAGAGGAAAGGCCAGCCATCAAACTTGGGTTAGGTATACACAGAAAAATTAACTACATATTCACCCAAAATCTAGCATTGACATTCTTCTTCATGATTCATAGTAACTTCCGGTAAGTATCCAGTTTTTAGTCCTTAACCTGAACTTGTCCTGAATGCACCAAAGTCGGGGGGACCTCCAGAGTATCCTTTCAGCTGTCTGGACAGTTGGACTGGGTCCATTTCAGCCTGATCAACTGTCCTCACAAACATTGCTACCATTACCACTTCTCTATGTTGAAGTCATCCCCACCCTTGTTCATGGTCCATTGATATATCTCTAAATATCTAGTCATTGCCATCACATTTGCTGAGATCAGAACAGGGTGCCTGCACAATCAAGTAGCCACTCTACCCCCTCCCCCACCCCATCAGCTCATAATGTAAATGCCCTGTTATGACCTTAGCAAATGTGACCACAACACCCAGGAGCTTGCAAAGCAGTTCTGTGGCTGGCAAAGAGGAACAGCAATGACACAAAGGACAAGTGGATGGACCAGTGAGGCAAATGCAGTCTTGATCTTTTTCAACTTTCTGGACATCCATATTGTGCTGCTAAGAATTTATCTTGGTCAATCCAGGGCCAGTACAGAGCATATAGCTCCAGACTGGCCCTGGATTAAGCAGCCAGTGTAGACAAGGTCTTTCTGAAATGTAATTAGGAAGCAAGGCCATACCCCAAAGCCACTACCCCCCCCCCCCCCCCCGAGGATCAATGCACTGGCTGAAGCTTGACTGCACAATACTTCAGTGAGGAAGACAATTTCACCCCTTACTACCCTTCCCTGTGCAAGGGAGGGAGTGAAATTAGGCACAAGGTACAATACACATATGACTTCTCTTTTAACCCAAAAGGAGAGTGAAGCTGGGCAATCCTATTACCTCTTTTCCCCAACCTCCCTTCCAATTGGCATAGTCGAGGTTGAAGAATCACTGATGAAGGATAACATGGGGACTCCGGCCCATGTTCATCCATGTAAAAGCTGAGATCACTAGTGGAACAGGGGACAACTTGCCACCAGAGACTCGCAGCAATATCGCACACTTAAGCCACCACCAACTCCTCCAGGTGCTAAATTTGGTTGGTTTGTAGACTGAAAGAGAACTTTGTTTCAGGTGTTTCTCCTCATTTGGATTTCTATCAACCTTGAGTAGTCATGGGACCTTGAATATAGTGATTGCTGACAAAGACACCCTTTAAAATCAGGACTGAATTATATAACCAACTGATATTGCACATCCTGACTAAATAAATATTTAAGTCAATGATAAATAAAATTTAGATAGTTGCTGACCCTTCCTTTAACAAGATCAAGGTAGAGGAAGTGGACAATCATTATCAATGAGAAGTACCATACAGTCATAAAAAAAACATAGGCACTAAATGCCTTCATTGAGGAGAAGGAACTATTGTGATGTTTTCACTACTGCCACCTTGAACTTGTATATGTCTATACAGAGGGGAACCTTTCAATTTTCTTATTTGATAAATTGGGAATGATTCATAAATTCATCCATTGAGAATGATTCATAAATTCAATTCAACTGATACATTGAAAGGAAAGTCCCAAAATCTGGATATGGCAAATAAGCAAAAGTAGATACTTTTCATGGGTTCTTCTCATGCACAAAAGAGAATGCAAAAGAGAAAGAAGTGCATTCGCAAGCCTAGGTTTTGCCACATCATATTCTCAAAATGAAAACAGAGTTTCCCATGATACCTGAAGTAGGAATGATTCAGCTCTGTAGAATTAACGCGGTTTGACACTACTTCAACTGCCAAGACTCAGTTCTATGGAATCATAGTTTTACAAAGTCTTTAGCTTTCTTTGCCCAAGGGTGTGAGTGCCTTATTGAATCCAGAATTCCATGGCACTGAACCAGTTACAGTAGTGTCAACCTGCATTATTTTTACAATATAGATGCATCCTCAGTCATTATTATAGGAGGTTGCCTTTTTTACAATTTAAATATAGTTTACCTATTTTAGTGTAATTATTTGCCATCAGATCTTCTAATCCAATTTGTTTCCAGAAACTATCATCCCAGCCTTTCTCGGAAGAATATGTCCACTTACACACCAATGTGCATAAAGATCTGTTGAGAAAAAGAATCCATTACATTTCTGTATTAGCTCATTCCTAAAGATTTATATGAACTGATGAAACCAATTAAGGGAAACCTGAGACTCATCACTTTTAACATATACATATTATTAAATTTAAATATTAAATTAGAATTTCGAACTAAATTTGGACTACAGGCAGCCCCCAACTTACAAACAAGATAGGCTCTGTAGATTTGTTCTTAAGTTGAATTTGTATGTAAGTTAAAACAGCCACATTTTTAAAAGTAACTTCAGTTCAGAACCACCTCTTCAAGAAAGGGGTAAAATATACATTAAGGAGGAAAAGGAAGTCTCTAAAATATGGACAGTGTACATTATGTCTTAGAAACAAAAGAAACTTCTGGCACAAGAAAGAGCTTTCAACATACAGGATGGCAACATAACAAAAGAATCCAAGGGCTGTTTCACCACAGGCCCAGAGAAGTGCCAGTGTTCCCCACCCTGAGTTGTCACAGACAGAACATTCTGCACATTTAAACTCTCTGGCTAGATGCTATTTTATACAGTGCTGGGCGTTGGTGCTGTGGAAACCTGGAGAGAGCCACAGGTCATCATGTGGAAGCATGAGAAAATAAACAGCTCTTTCCTACAACACAACTGTTCATGACAAGCAGGAAGATCCTGCATTGCCATAACAGAATCTATGCATAGGCAGAAGTCATTTGAGTTGTATGCAGCAACCTCTTGTTCGTAAAGTTGTTTTCCAAGAGACTGACTAGAGAAGAAACAAAAAAGGGAGTAGAGATGCTTATCCCAAGATGGTTTATTTATTTATCGTATCAGGAGCAAACCAAGGGTACAATTGTAATTAAAAAAAAAACCACAGTGTTTTAAAACTTGGTATTATATTAGATGTCCTTTGACCAGTAGCTGGTCACTTGGAGTGCCTTAGGTGTTACTATAAGAAGGTCCTCCATTGTGTATGTGGCAGGGCTCAGACTGCATTGTAGTAGGTGGTCTGTGGTTTGCTCTTCTCCACACTCACATGTTGTGGACTCCACTTTGTGGTCCCATTTCTTAAGCTTGGCTCTGCATCTCGTGGTGGTGGCAGAGCACAGTGAGTTCAGTGCCTTCCAAGTCACCCAGTCTTTTGTGTGCCCAGGAGGGAGTCTCTCATTTGGTATCAGCCATGGGAGATGGCTGATACCAAACCTCCCATGGCTGATACCAAATGGTCACTGCCAACAGAATATGCTTGGAATCAAAGAGCCATCATGCAAACACAGGTTTATAAATGGGTGGCAGGAATCTTCCAGCGACTATTTTATTTTTCAGGGAGGCTACAATTCTATCCATTTACACACAGATATGTGAGCTGGTACAGGGAAGGGAATAGGAAGTAATCAAACAGAAATCCTTGGAGGAAGGAACTCTTTTTGTCTAACATGTCTGCACTGTCCATTTATTTCCTTCTTTCTGCTACTTTGTTTGCATCAGTTGCTAGTTCATAAAAACATCCTTTTATCACTCCTCTAGAAAAAAAATAATTCTAAGGAACAGAAAAAAATTAACAATTAGTAGAAAACATAATGGCTACATCCCATCCAGTAACAAATAACTTAAAAACATGAATTTAAGATCCAACCAGTCCATCCTCCAGGAAATAAAGCCCGACTGCTCATTGGAGGGAAGGATACTAGAGACAAAGTTGAAGTACTTTGGCCACATCATGAGGAGACAGCAAAGCCTAGAGAAGACAATTATGCTGGGGAAAGTGGAAGGGAAAAGGAAGAGGGGCCGACCAAGGGCAAGATGGATGGATGGCATCCTTGAAGTGACTGGACTGACCTTGAAGGAGCTGGGGGTGGTGACGGCCGACAGGGAGCTCTGGCGTGGGCTGGTCCATGAGGTCACGAAGAGTCGGAGACGACTGAACGAATGAACAACCCATTCATATACAATCTATACTGCGTTAACTTTACAAAGTGAAGTAATCATATTTTCTTTTGCTGGAATAGATTTAAAGTTTCTAAATGGTGATTGCAGCTCTTTCTTCCTTACCATAGCACATATTTCTTCTAGATTACATTCCTGAAATACATTATACATTCAATATTAGAGGAAAACTGGATTGGAATGTTTAGTGGGTTCTGAAAACAAATTGATCATGGTCACAGGACTCCTGATAGGCATACGTACTCAGAACATGGAAGAGTTTATGCATGTGCTCTCAGGTCATACCTGGTAACAAATCATCCCCTATCACCAGTTCTTCATTAGCCACTGAATTCATGTGGGGTGGGGGCTTCACTAGCTAAACAGTGAGTCAGGGTGTTGAGTGGAGTAATGCCTGTGAAAGTACATGAGAACAGAACCTACAGTTTCACTTACCCATGTCTCTGATATGAGACATGGGCAAGTGAAACTGCAGGTACTGGTCTCATGTACTTCCACAGGCATTACTCCATTCACCATCCCGACTCTTATATCTACTGGCATTTCTTAAGTCACACATGTCAAATGTATAACCCACAAGCAGAATCTGGTCCACCATGTCATTTTATGGGGCCCACGAGGCTTTCAATGCCATGGCAACATAGTTACATTTATACAGTCTTACCATTACAACCAGCAACAATAAAGTTGATGTGACCCTAGGTAAAAATGAGTTTGAAATCCTTATCCTCGGTTCTCCAGTGTGATTCTATGTGGTATGTTTCTGCTGAACATTGATTACAGAGTCAAGCTGGGAAACCTAGAAACTAGGGCTGGGCGGTTTCGTTCGTTAATTTCGTAATTCGTTAGTAATTCATATTTAAATTAGCTTACGATCCGATATTGAGCCATGCAGGAGCAACTAAAAATCGAAATGAATTTTTCAATTTATTTCGTAATTGTTTCGTAATTGGTTCGAAATCATTTCGAAATTGTTTCGTTATTATTTCTGTATGTCTGGTGCAAGTTTTATAGTTGTTGTTTGTTTTATCAGTGATAAAAAAATAAATTATCACACCAACAGTCAACAACAGAGGGAGAGGGAAGCTTCAGAAGTTTCCCCTGTCCCATTTGGAGGTTTTTTTTAGCGTATTGCACAATCGCGTCCGCTATTAACAAATCAATTCGTAATTGTTTTGTAATTTCCGAAATTTCGTATATTTTGAACTTTTTTAAAGAAAAATTTCGGAATTCTTTTAAAAAACAAAACGCAAAAATACCCCTAAAAATGAATCGAGTTTAGAAACAAATTTTTCTGTGGTTACCCAGCCCTACTAGAAATATTAGAGAGATGTTTTCTCTAGATATTTTCTAGGTCCTCCAGCAATGACTCTAGAATATGCTTTTACAAGAAGCCATTCATATCAATAGAATTCACTATTATCAGTAGATTTGCTTTCCATATTAAGTCCAACAATATATCCCCTGTAGATATGAAGGCCATGCTCTTTCATGTCATGCTATGCTATATGTGTTTTCAGCCTATTTGATGAAATGGGCTTCAGTATGCAGAAGTTGATGGTGTAACAATATTTGTTAATCTTTATTGTGTTAATTTTGCTGAAACCGACTAAGGTAACTACCTTACAAAATGAGCTTTTAAGTGTTACGTGCTGGTTTTAATTTTGTGTTCCAATAAGCACTGTAGTGGTGGCCTTTGCCTTGAGATTCAGATCAATCTGTGTAGTCACAATTTGGGAAGTCAGACTAGACAGCACAACCAGGGTGCCTCTTAAAATTTTGATGACATATTAATTAAGGCAAAAACTTAGCTGGAATTCAGTCATATTTTGTCTTGAAACTTTCAACCTGTAAAGCTATATGAAAGGAATACATGCATTACATTTTTTACTGTGAACAACTTAAGTACAATGAATGTCATGACAAATAATTCCATGCCATTTTCTCTCAGCAGCAAACCCTCTACGCTTTTGTTAATTTAAATTATAATGTACTCAAATATCAAAAGAGCAAATTAAAAGGGTGGAAAATTTAGGCATATTGTTCATTGCTTAGTAGCTGCAAAAAAATAAATAAATAGCTAAGACAAACTATCCTGTTGTCCAAAATTCCTAGTTCAAATAACAAAACTGAATACATTCACATTTTTTCATTCAGTGTCACCGAATCCTATAAATCTCCGTATTATTAGTTGCAATCTAATTTGATTAAATAATGGAATTAGCTGCAACTTAAACAGGGGTAAAAACAGCATAGTAGGATAAAACAGCTCCACAAGCAGTCACCCCCCTCGCTCCTCCCTGTCTAGGAAGCACATGGGCAATAATCATCATCATCATCATCATCATCATCATCATCTTTATTTGTATCCCATTTTTCTCCCACAAATGACTTACAACAAATTAAAAACAATACAACCCCAAACAATAAACATATATAACACATAAAACCATATATAAAATAATACATAAATAAATAGCATTTATGTTTGGAGCCCCGCTGCTGGTAGTGTAGCCTAAAGGGGCTCCCTGGTGCCACCACCAGCACGGCTTAGGAATCTGCATGGACCACCTTCTGTCAAAGCCGCGGCAATAAAAGCCACAAAGAAAACTTTCTTTGCGGCTACTATTGCGTCTGCAAGGAACCATCCGGCGGAGTTGTTCCGGATTGTCAGAGGTCTTTTAACTCCCGCCATCCCAGGCGGGAGCCCTGACAATTCGGCCACGCGCTGCGAAGCATTTGCTCGGTTCTTTGCAGACAAAGTCGCTTTGATCCGTTCTGGTCTGGACACCATGTTAAATGCAGTCTCTGAGGATGTGACACGAGCACCTGCTTGTCCTATTTTGATGGATTCTTTTCAGTTTGTGAAGCCCGAGGATGTGGACAAGATACTTGGAGGAATGAGGCCCACCACGTCCATCCTAGACCCCTGCCCATCCTGGCTTCTGAAGGAGGCCAGAGGGGGATTGGCTGAGTGGGTAACGGTGGTGGTTAACGCCTCCCTTCGGGAAGGCAAGATTCCAGCGAGCTTAAAACAAGCTATTATAAAACCGCTGTTGAAGAAACCATCACT